CACATCCATGGATACAGAGATCACTGCACGGATCCTCTCAAAGTTTGGGAGACTTGCATGTACGAGATTCTTTATTTCACAACCCTTGAGCTATTAGCCTATGTACAACATGATCTAATTAACATGTAGTTTTAATTAATGTGTTAAGAAGGACTACAATACTTGATGGACAGAACCACAGTATGTTATTTAAAAGCAAAACAGTAGGGTCACCTGGGTGGCTCAGGGGGTTAAGCCTCTGCCTTCAGCTCAGGTCATGATCTCAGGGTCCTGGGATGGAGCCTCGTATTGGGCTCCCTGCAGGGACCCCGCTTCCTCCTCTCTCTGCCTACTTGTGATCTCTCTCTTTCTCTCTGTCAAACAAATAAAATCTTATTTATTTTTTTTTAATTTTTATTTATTTATTTGACAGGCAGAGATCACAAGCAGGCAGAGAGGGAAGCAGAGAGAGAGGAGGAAGCAGGCTCCCCGCTGAGCAGAGAGCCTGATGCGGGGCTCGATCCCAGGACCCTGAGATCATGACCTGAGCCGAAGGCAGAGGCTTAACCCACTGAGCCACCCAGGCACCCCATAAAATCTTATTTAAGAAAAAAAAGTACAAAACAGTAATATCTTGAGGCAGCTCTATCACGGGCAGGGAGATCACCCATTTTATCCGTGGAATTTCTTCCATTTAACCAGATTTATTGAGTGCCTGTGTATTCTGTAGAAAACAAATCTTTTCACCAGTCCAAAACACTAACCCTATAAACACTGTATGTAACTGAGGTAAATGTATCATTAAAAATAATGTTGTGTTATGGAGATAAACAATAAGAGTGGTTTATTTTTTTATTTTTATTTTTTTTTTAAGATTTTATTTATTTATTTGACAGACAGAGATCACAAGAAGGCAGAGAGGCAGGCAGAGAAAGAGGAGGAAGCAGGCTCTCTGCTGAGCGGAGAGCCCAATGCAGGGCTCGATCCCAGGAGCCTGGGATCATGACCTGAGCCGAAGGCAGAGGCCTTAACCCACTGAGCCACCCAGGCGCCCCAACAAGAGTGGTTTAGAGTGAAGGCTCAGGAAGGTCCTTTTGGAAAAAGTGGCATTTGAACAGATAGATACCTCAGGAGATAAATACTTGAGGGTAGATACCCAGGAAGGTGGGAGAAAGATGTTCTACAATGAGGGGACAAACTTTGCACCATTCTGAGATGGGTCAAAGGTCAGGGAGATAGGAGTGAAACACGTAATGAATTTAAATTTAGGAGCTAAGTAAGTGCCAGAAGGTGCCAGGCCGTGCGTGTATGCCTAAGAACAGGGTTTGATTTTATTCAAGATACAGCAGAAAAATTGTTGGTTTTAGGTAGGGACGAGCATGAACAATGTGTTCATACATTTTTGCCTGTCTCTCAAAGAGAATCTTTACAATAGGGTTCTACATGTGGACACCTGGGGTCAAAGACAGGACTGTGTTTCAGGCTCTTTCTTTTGCAAGAATTCATACCATGTCAGCTCAGTGGTGGGCGAGTGACCATTTCTCTCACCCTCAATAATAGTGTCACTGAAGAATTCTGTCATTTGAAGAAAAACAGTGTCCTGTTGTTGTGTTGTCATTATTTTTTTAAAGATTTTATTTATTTATTTGACAGACAGAGATCACAAGTAGGCAGAGAGGCAGGCGGAGAGGGAAGCAGGCCCCTGCTGAGCAGAGAGCCCGATGTGGGGGCTCCATCCCAGGACCCTGAGATCATGACCTGAGCCGAAGGCAGAGACTTTAACCCACCGAGCCACCCAGGCACCCCTGTTGTCATTTTATTGTTAACTTGGATATTGGTCAATATTTGCTAATAGTTTATGTTTCCTCTTTTTTAAATTACCAATGACTTTTGTCCTTTTTTTGAGGGGGGTGATGTTGGTATATATCTTAATGATGTGAAGTGGGTTCTTTATTTTTTTAAAGATTTATTTTATTATTTATTTGAGAGAGAGAAAACATGAGCAGGAGGGGCAGAGGGACAGGGAGAGGGAATCTCAGGCAGGCTCTGCACCAGTGCATGGGCCCCAGACCAAGACCTGAGCAGAAATCAAGAGTCAGAGGCTCAACTGACCGTGACACCAGGCACCCTGCTTTATGCATCTAAGGACTGTTTCCTCAGCCCCCATTTCTTACAGATGTATTTATATACACACATTCTCCCAGTTTGCTTTTTAATTTTACTTGTACAGTCTTCCCACTTACAAGGGTACTTTGCTGTTGAAAAAAACATTCTTGTAGAGGGCGCCTGGGTGTCTCAGTCAATGTGGCAACTGCCTTTGGCTCCGGTCATGATCCCAGGGTCTTGGGATGGAGCCCTGCATCTGGCTCCCTGCTCAGCGGACAGCCTGCTTCTCCCTCTCTCTCTGCCTGCCGCTTTGTTTACTTGTGCTCTCTACCTCTCTGTCAAATAAAGGAAGGAAGGAAGGAAGGAAGAAAGAAAGAAAGAAAGAAAATCTTAAAAAAAAAAAATTCCTGTAAGTTGAAAATGTAGCTGCTATTACTTTGAATCAGAAGAAACGCTATCTGTTCCGGAGCCACCATTCATGAAAAACACTGGAATGGACCTGTTTACTTCACTTGTTTATATTACTTAATGTAACACAATGTAACACTTTCTATTTACCAATTTCTCTATAATATGCTGTTCATCTGCATTCCTGAAGCTTTTGCATACTTATTCTGCATTACATACTTAAGACTATGTTCTCAAGTCAATCTTTAATGCAAAAACAAGAAGGTAACATCAAACATAATAGCAAGGGCAGAATAAAAGCCACGCATTTCAGTAGCACCTGCGTGAACTCATTGCTACATACTAGCAAACCAGGAACACACCGAGGCCAGGACTCAAGGGAGTCCCCAGCGCTGTAACTGTGAAGTATCCCTCTCCACCAGTCCCAAGACATCTGAGTTGATCCTCACATGTGAGCAAAGCAAGAGGGAGGGTGTTAGAAGACCCCTCTTTATAAAGGGTCAAAGTTGTAACACCAAAGGGCATATACAGACCTTATCTGTATCAGGTTTTGACTTACAGGATTCATATATTTTTATACAGCCAAATTTATCACTCTTACCTTTTGTGATAAAAACCATTGCTTTAGCTCTTAGGATGGTCTTCTCCACCTCCAATATTACAACTATCCACCCACAATTTCTTCTATTGGAAAATGATTTTTAGTTTTTACAATATTTAGGTCGTTGGGTTCTTTTCAGTGCAAAGTAAGGATGTAATTTATTTTTTTATTTTTTTTTAAAGATTTTATTTATTTATTTGACAGACAGACATCACAAGTAGGCAGAGAGGCAGGGGTGGGGGGCAGGCGGGCTCCCCGCTGAGCAGAGAGCCTGATGTGGGGCTGCATCCCAGGACCCTGGGATCATGACCTGAGCCTAGCCAAAGGCAGAGGCTTTAACCCACTGAGCCACCCAGGTGCCCCATAATTTATTTTTTAAAGAGACGTATTTTCCATATCAATTTGTGGGCTAATTCATGTCTTTTCTATCTAAGTAATACCTCTTAAAGCAGAAACTGGAAAAAGTAGTCTGCTGATCAAGCCAAGCATTAGGTTAAGTGTAGAAAATGCTGGTGGAGTTTGGAAAGAACTAGGACTGTTGTGGGTCCTTTGTTGGGTGGTGCTAAGTCTTTGAAACGTGTGCTCATTGATGCAAACTACTCTTCGTGCCCCACCACTTTTCCTTTACTCTTTTCTCTGATACACTTGCCCTCTCTTTGCACTCTTGCAGGTAATTTCATGCTATAACCTGAGTTGTATGGAAGTAACTATTTTGGTCTTCTGGGCCTTCCCCAACTCCGCACCCCAAATCGTTGGCCCCAAACCATTGGCTCAGACCATATCCCCTCCTTCATATTCAGTAAGCTAAAGAAATGAGGCAAATAAATCTGTTCTGGAGGTAAAATGGAGCCAAGGGCTAAATTCTAGGCAAAACAAATAGGAAATCCGGGAATAAACTCACTTACATTAGATAGAATGAGAGATAGTATCTGGGTACAAACATTGAGATGATGCCCGTACAACTGAATTGGAGAAAAATGTGGAGTTATGCGGTCACTTCTTTCCTAAAGGTAAGCTTCCTTTTGTACTTACATGAATTTGTCTTACTTGAGCAGCCTCCATGGAATACACAGAACCATACGGTCTTACATTTTATAGATGACTTTATTTAAAAAAAGAAAAGGTAATTTACTTAAAGCTGTTCATTGCTAGAATTCCTGGTCTAGCATTCAAACCAGGTAGGGCTTGGTTTTTTCTGACACCATTTCACTCATCTGTTGTATTTTAATGACATATTTTTGTGTAAGATGACTTAACATTATTTCGTAATATGTCTTGATCTAACCCAAAACTCTCTGAGATGTATCAGAGGCAGGGCTGCGTTGAAAGGTTGTTTTCTTGACTGGGGTGCATCACAGAACACCTGTGCAAGTAGTACCCATTTCTAAACTCTCCCTCTTACAGAGCAGCGATGAAAAGAAGATTGAGGAGTTGGATTGGAATCCCAAAATTTCCTGCTCGGTCTCTTCCTAGTGATTTTCAGGTGCATATGCCCAAGGAGAAATTTGGGTTGACTTGTCTTCCTTCCGAACTCCCAGTGGAGAAAGGTCATCAGGGAAAATACGTGACATCTGTCCATACCCGTCCGCTTATCTCTGAGACTTAGTAAACCATACGTTGGAATCTTCTCTCGCTAGATGCACAACTACCAACGACAACAAGAGAAGCTGCTTCTCCTTGCACAGATTTGTGCCGTTTCTGCCCAACGGATCCGGGGCGGTCCTGTAATCCTGGCGGTCCCGTGTGTGCGTGCATGAGCCGGGGAACCTGGCGCCTCCCTGCAGTTCTTTCTGAGTCGCAGTAACGAGACCTCCCAAGCCGGTTACCGGTTTTGCTCACCCACACCCTGACGGCCGCCCGGGCGCGGCAGCTCGGCGGGCGCACGGCGGCGCGGGGCCCGGCCCACCCGGAGCGGACGTGGGCCCGCATCGCCGCCGGCCCCGCAGGTCCGAGCCCGACGATGCTGCGAGCGCCGGGAGCTTTGTGCGCTCGGCTCCCGGCTCCCGCGTGCCCGCACGTACGTAGCCTTCACGTGTGTGCCGCTATCGAGTGCATGTGTGCGGCTGTAGGAACATGCGGAGGCCAATTCGGAGTCGGGCGCAGAGGACAGGACAGAGGGAAGGTGGGTGTGGGCGTGCGCGGCGCCGGCCCGGCCGGGAGGGAGCCGGAGCCCGCGGCCCGCACCCCGCGCCCGTGGCGCCGCCGACCCGGCCACACAATAAAGTCCGGGGGCGGGCGGAGGTGCAGGAGGCCGGGCCGGGCGAGCGGCCGCCCCGCGCACACACCGCCATGTGAGCGGCCTCGCAGGACGCAAACTTTCCCCGGCGGCGGCGACGGCGGCCCAACTTCCCGCCCCGGCCCCCGGGCCTGCCGCGCGGCGCCGAGACCCCGTAAGTGCGGGCGGCGCCCGGCCTCCCGCGCCCCCGCCGGCCCGCGGGGCCACCGCCTTCCCTCCCTCCCGGCCGGGCGCGCGCGGGTCTCGGCGGCAGACGGTTGTCAACATGGCGCCCCTGAAGCGCCGAGCCGGGGCGGGCGGCGGGGAGCCGGGGCGTCCGGGCGGGGGCCGGGCCGGGCGGGCGGGGAGCCGGGGCGGAGGCCGGGCCCGCGGGGGAGCCGCCGGGGAGCCCGCGGAGGGGGCCGGGAGGCGGGGAGGCGGCGCGGAGGCCGGGAGGCGGGGAGCACCCTCCCCCCGCGCGCCCCGCAGGCCTGGGCCCGGGCGGCGGCGGCGGCGGCGGGAAGGAGGCGGCGCGGCGGCGGGGCCGGGCGCGGAGGGGGAGGGCCGGGCGCGGCGGCGGCGGCGGCGGCGGCGAGGACCGGAGCATAATGGTGGGAGACTCGGCCGCGGCGGGCGCGGGGCGCGGGCGGGGGCGTCCGAACGGCGGCGCCGTCGCTTTGTGGAGCCCGAACCGGCTGCAGCGTCTCCGGCCCCCGGCGCGGTGCGCTCGCCGCCAGCCCTCCCGCCGGCCGCCCCGCGCGGCCCGCCGGGCTTTGTGTAGGCGCGCGGGGGCGGCGGGGCCTGCGGGGGTCCCGCCCGCTCCCCCTCGCCCGCGGCGGGCCCGTGAGGGGCGGGCCGGAGGCGGCGGCGGCGGAGGACGAGGACCGCGCGGGGCCTGCTCGGGCCGGAAGCCGGGGAGTCGCGTGAGCGCCGCCCGCCGGGCCGGCCCTTCCCGCGCGGCCAGGCCTGGGGCCCGCGGGTCGGGGTCCGCCGAAACGCGGCCCTGTGAGTGGGGGAGGGCGGGGGCGCGGGCGCCGGCGTGGCTCGCTGTGTGAGGGCGGCGGCCGCGGCCGGGCAGGGCGGTCCGCGGGCACCCAGGCGGGGCCCGTTGCGCGTCCCCTGGGGCCGGGCTCGGCGGCGGCGCGGCCTGCGCCTCCTCAACAGGTCCTCGCGGGGCCTCGGCGCGCGGTGCGGGGCGGAGCGGCGGGGCAGGGGACGCGGGGCTCCTGGGCAGGCCCGGGCCCCCAGCTTCCACGTGCACGGCCGCTGGCGCCGGGGTGCGGGCCCGCTGCGGGCCGCTGGAGATGCGCGCGGGGCCCGGGGCGCGGCTGGGGTCCGGGGGCGCCGCGCAGGTGCCAGGTGGCCTGTGCGGGGGCGGCCGCCTGCGGGCTGGAGCGGACATCGGGCTCCCCGACGTTTGGGTCCTGGGTGCTCGGGTGCCCAGCATCCCCCTGTGAGCCTGCTGGGAAACGGTGTGTTGAAAGGCAGAAAGTGAAACGGTAACTTGTTTTCGTTTCAGGTGAGAAACGGAGTAGTTGCGGCTTACTGATTGTGGGATGCGGAACCTTTTCAGGTTGGGGGGGTCCTCGGTTCTAATGCACGGTTGGAAGTTAGCAGGGAGATAGTCTTGGTGGTGCTTTAAAAAGTTTGAATGCTTTTTGGTAAGCAAGGTCACCTTTGTGATTTTTCTGAGTTCTCATTTGTACAGTAAGGAGCTGGACTATGAATTTGTGTTCAGGTGTGTTACTGTCCGCGTCTTTGGCTGACTGCCGCAGGTTACAGGGATTATTTTGGGAGACTCTTTATAAGATGGCTAGGCTAGAGAATCAAAGACCAGAAGACGTGGGATGTGATTATGACAGAATGAATACGGGTTTTTTTCCTTGCTTAAAAGCTCTACCTGCGGTTAACAGGATCTCTGTCTTTTACATGGTGCTTTTGCCCGTAGATGTTGTGCAGGTGAAAACTGAGTCTCCCTTTTACATTCTGTAAAGTGGGCAATTCATTTTTGCAGTTACCGGTTATAAGGTGTTTAAATACACACATATGTAGTTGCTTTACAAAGAAACATCACTGGACATGTTAATGTTCGCTCTGGAGCTCACCCTGAGTATTCCTGGGACATGGTTATGTCAGGGCTTTGGATGTCCTTTTGCTTGGATGTTTCCTTGAATTGACACGTGTTTATGTAAACTCTAACCCTTTTGTAATTCTACCCCTTTTCCTTTAGGGGTGGTTCAAAATAGTGTGTAATAGGGACACTGATACCCTTTGGCATGCTTGAGACATGAATCAAAATGAAGAATTTTAACATTTGTGTTAGAGGTATCACTTGCTGTCCTAATAATGGTTCAAGAGGTAAACCTCTGGTTGTCCTGTTTTCTTTACCTACCTTTACCATCCTTCAATTGAATTTTAATGGGAGACATCATTTAAGCAAAGAGGTCGTATCTGGGGGGAAAATTGAGTAAAGTGTCAGACTTTACCTTATGGTAGTTAAAAACTTTTCACTGTTTGGAAACCTTAACTTGCACTTAACACTGACTTTTTTTAAACAGGGTGATTAGATTTTTTTTTTTGTCATTTAGATTAGAGAGGTAGCATATAGCAAAATGACTTTGAAGACTGATGGCTTAGGTCCGGAATCTCTCCTCTGTCATTTACTAGCAGAGGCACTGCGGACAGATTACTTAAACTCCCCATGCCTGGTGTCCGTTTCCCTATCTGGAAAACAAGAACAGTAACTGTACCAACTTCATAGGGCTGTGGATGCACTAGACTAATTCAGTTCAGGTGAATCCGATTCATTTGGGTTGATAATTGAAACGTGTGTGGAAAGGAGTGGCCCTCTGAAATTGCAGCGTGGAATGCTTATGTGTGCGTTGGTTACTAATTTGTGTGCGTTGGAGCATTACCTCTGAATCCCTCCGTGTGTTCACCTTAGTTCTCCCAGAGTTAGAAAATGAGCATTTGTTATATTCCTCCAGACTCCTTTACTTGAAGCAGTTTTTAAGGATCTTTTTGTCATTACTTTTTTTTGCTTTTATTCTCTTTATGGGTAAGATACATGTAACAAAATTTACAGTTTTAATTCTAAAATGTATTGTCTTGTGGTATTAAATAAATTCATACTGCTGTGCAGAGATCATCACCATCCGTCTCCAGAGCTCTTTTCATTTTGTAAGACTTAAACTCCATACTTGTGTAACACCCCCTCCCTTCCTCCCTCCCCCGGTGCCCAGCACCCACCTGTCATGACTTCGGTATCTTGATCAAGAGTCTGGGTAACTGAAGCACGTAGTGTAAGAGTTCTTAGTTTACCATTGGTTATCAGCGAATCTTCTCTTTTCCCACCTTGTCATCAAATTATATGTTTTGTATTTACTTAAAGCAGGAAGACTTTCTGAAAAAGGAATCACTGCTTGTCCCCTTATTTTGATCATTGTGGAATTCATAATCCCTCACCAATATTTTTTCTAGGAATTTTGACAAAAAATAATGGGTTTGAGTTTAATTTCTACCTGTATTTCTTGCACAACAACTTTGAGTTACTTTTTTGCAGTGGCATTGTTAAAATTTCAGAACGACTTAAATCTGCTCCGGTGCAGTGATGATGTGGAGATTGGTAGTGATCTGAAAGTTCTCTGTTTCTTCAGTGGTCTGTCCTTTGGTCTTGGTTTTTTGAAATGTTTTGGTATTCAGGAATTAATAACATAAATGAGTACCATGATGCTGTGTACCAATAGTGTATGTTCACCAACTCTTCGCCATTGTGCAAAGTTCTTCACATATGCTGTTGCACTGTCAGGAACCCTGCGCGTGACCATAAGAGCACAGCATTCTTCCTTTTAGTTGTGGAAGGCCCCACCCCCTCCCCGCACACCCCCATCCAGACACACACTCTGCGAAGTGGACCAGCTAGTAGCTTTGTGATAGAACTTGCTCTGTAGAACCTAAAAGTTTGAGGATTCCTCTGACAGGAAGTAAAGTGATAGAAACAAAATTTAATGGGATGGAGATAAAAATAAGTCTAAATATCCAAGAGTTTTTTTTTTTTTTTAAATAATCAAGTCTTAGCTATAGTATTATTTTTTAAGATATTATTTATTTATTTGACAGATCACAAATAGGCAGAGAGGCAGGCGGAGAGAGAGAGGGCAGAGCAGACTCCCCACCGAACAGAGAGCCCGATGCGGGACTCGATCCCAGGACCCTGAGATCATGACCTGAGCCAAAGGCAGAGGCTCAACTCACTAAGCCACCCAGGGGCCCTTAGCTATAGTATTTTAGACATCTTGTACTGCCTTAAGGGAAAACCTCATTGCATGTATGTGTGCCTGTTAATGATTTTCTACTCAGAAAATTCTTAAGAAGTTACTTAGTTTTATTGTGAAAATGCTGTATAATACTTAATGTGCCAAGTCATTGACAAGGGCAAATAGTCTGTATATTGGACATTAAAAAAATTTTGTGTAGTTCATTATTTATTGGTAAGGACATTTAGGAAATTGTTAGATATAGATACTTAGATTTGTAAAATTGAAGTAAATATCTTTGTGGAACTAGGAAATATTTAGACATTTAACTAATCTTTCATTGTACTTTTTAATAATATTTTCTATTTAATAGCTAAAAGGCTAAATATTTGCCTAACTTTACATGAGGTTAAATTAATGGAATACTGTTAAATCCACATTTTAAAGACATCATATGGCTTGTCTGTTCAGATGAGAGAAGTCTGATTAGCAGATCCCGTTATGTTGGAAAGATGTGTATTGATGAAAACTTGTGTGGTGTTTTAT